TTATCATTGTATATTTCTTCAACATAATAGTTTATAATATTATTTTCTATGGATGAAATAGATAAATTATTAATGCTGATTTTTCACATGTTGTCCCCTTAATCTGTTCAACCAGTGTTGAATGTATTAGGGCCTCTTTATATCAAGATACAAACACCAGCTCTGTACCTTTGTATCCCTCATCAGAAGAGTCATCTCAGTGGGTGATAAGGATGTGTCTGGAAACAAATTGTACCTGAGATGGTTTTCTTGTAATGCAGATATTTACATCAACCCTGAATATATTCTAAAGAGTCATGTTTGCAAAAATTTCTCCCACCTTTTGGCTGTAGATTGAAATTAAGTCATTTTTTTGGCATTGGCTTGATGTTTTAAATTTTTTCTGAATATTTTGGGGATTATCAATTGCAACATTGGAGTAACTTAGTGATTGATGGTTATTTTAACTGCATCTTAAACATAAACTTACAAAAATAAGTCCATAAGTATAAAAGCAAAATTGATATCCAGTTAGTAATTGTCATACATCATTTCTGGTATCTTCTTAATATAATTTCTTTAGCAGCAAGGCAGTAGTCTACATCAAGATGTAGGTTGGCAAATTGCACTTCTATCTAGTTCCCAGGTAACAATTTCATTTTAAATAAAACTGAGTGTTAATTAGATCTCAATAAAAAATCAATTATTGAGAAAGAAGTATCAATTATTTGTGAATATTTTGAATATGAAGGGTCTTGAAAGTAGGGGAGAGAACTCTGAATTTCCTTCATGGTTTACAAATATTGGAGAAGAACCCCTCTGATTGTTGTCACAAACAGAGTTAGAAAGAAAGCCTAGTGTAGGAGGAGCAACACTGAATAACAGATATACATTGAGAGGGACAAACTAAGGCACATGGCCATGAACCATAGGATATAAGGAGTCATACAGCTCCAACGTCTCCATTAGTGTTAAATATTTTCACTGCCTCTTTCTCTCTACCCTGTAAAAATTGAGATTCTAAGCACATAATGAGTGTATTTCTTCAGCTGATACAGGACAGGAGAAAATCAAGGCAGACAAAAGTTGGGAATCCAAATGCAGT